CCCACAGAAGGAGACGTCCGTGGCCAGGAAGGTGTGGATGGCCGAGTCCAGGATGCCCCAGAGCCAGCAGGCCGTGACCAGTGGGACACACACCTTCTTGCTCATGATGCGGGTGTAGTGCAGGGGTTTGCAGATGGCCGCGTACCGGTCAAAGGCCATGACAGTGAGCAGTGCACACTCCGTTCCTGCACAGGTCATGAGGAAGAACATCTGTGCCATGCACGCCCGGTAGGAGATGGTCTCTTGCTGGCGTACAAAGTTAGTGAGGATTTTGGGAACAGTGACAGAGGAGTAACTCATGTCCAGGAAGGAGAGGTGGCCGAGGAAGAAGTACATGGGGCTGTGCAGCTGGGGATCCAGCACGATGAGGGTGAGGATCAGGCAGTTCCCCAGCAGGGTGATGAGGTAGATGGCGAGGAAGGCCAGGAAGAGGAAGGCCTGGCCCTGCAGGACGCGGGAGAAGCCCAGGAAGATGAACTCTGTCACCTGCGTCTGGTTCGCCCCGTCCATGGGGCCGGTCGCAGCTACCTGCGGGGAGAGAGACCAGCCGTGAGCGGAGGCAGAGCGCGGGGACAGGGATCCGGCGCAAGACCAGCCCCTTCCCCAGTGCGGCTGGGCCGTGTCACGCCGACGGGCAGGGCCGTTGGTGCTCAGATATCTGCCCTTTGCTCCATGCACACATTGTACATGGATCACACAGCTCTGGTCCGCCGCACCCCTGGAGTGAATTGAGTCTGGGACATCCTTGCTATAGTCCCTGGCCACTGTTCCTCATCCCCAGGCTCGCTGCAGATTTTGCCACCAGCTGAGCTCCCACCAGTGGACAGGTTCCTTCCCCACTGGGCAGGGCAGGCTCTGAGCCAAAGCTGCCCCCACCCTCGATTGTACAATTACGGCTCTTGTCCATGCCATCAGTTTCTCTTGAAAATCCTCCTTCGTTTCATTCACATTTTGATCTCCGAGTTTTATTTCCCACTGAGTTTCACTCCTCACTCTCCTTGCCATTGTGGGAATTGGCTCTTTGGTCTCACCAAGTAGCTATCTATTACTGGTTCTCTTTCTGCCCAAACTGAACATAATCAGCTCATGGTCAGTGGGCTTGTCTACAAGTGTATTTACTCTGCAGTAATTGACTGCGCAGTAATTTACTGCACAGTAAGCAGTTTTAAGGCCTTTCCCTGCTGGCAGCACCACGGCTTCAGTGTCTGCAGGAGCATGCACCACAGGACCTGCACCAGCACCCTGGCCCACGGGCTGGGCTCCCGCCCGCTCAGCCCACGTAGTGTCAAGGCAACTACTGGGATGTTACTTGTCTTATGTTGCCTTACACACCCATTGTTACTGTGCAGTAAGGTGTCCACACATGCCTTCTGCGCAGTAACTACTTGGGGGGTATATCTGCGACCTGCATCATGCACATAGCAAATTTACTCCTGAGTCCATGTAAGTGTCGGTGCAGCCTACTCATCACCACCTCCCGGGATGGAGAGGCCACAACTCCCCCGGGCACCTGTCCCGGTGCTCGACCGCCCTCAGACACAGAAACCTCCTCCTCATCTCCAGCCTAAACTTCCCCTGCGGCAAGGTTCGGCTGGAGATGGAGTTTTGACTTTTATCAAATCCCGCCGCAGACTTCTCCTCCCCAGGCTACATCACCCTGGTCCCTGCTGCCTTTCCTCATTGGTCTCGTGTTGCCAGCCCTGACCGTTTTCACGGGGCCCAGGCCGAGCTGCAGAAGCGCTGCTAAGCAGAAGGTCCAAAGCTTGTTTCTGAGTAACCGCAATGTAAACTTTTGCAGGTGCGAGAGTGACTTGGTCAGCAAGTCAAAGAAACCACAAACACAATTAAAACAAAGCACACGGCCTGAAAGGAGGTAAGAGAAGACCTGATATTAAACAATCCATATGCGTGATATAACAGCTTTATCTTGAAGTCACAGTAGTTAGTAGTGCCTGATGCAACCAAATTTGTTAGATGTTATTTTGCTAAGGACCGTGCTGTAGTGCGTCTCTCCAAAATGGTTGTGTCAGCAACCCCTGAGGTTACTGTAAGGCCCAGATATGTGACATACCGGGGTGGAATCCTGAAGTTATAATAGTTTTCTATTTTATAATGCTCAATAAAACTAATTTATTAAGGAATTAACTGGGTTCTCATTTGGGGAAATAACTGGGTTTTCGTTTGGAGAAATAAATAGGTTCTCGTCTGGTGAAAACGGAAGCATACCTTAGGGTAATATCGACCCTGCTGTTTGCTCTGAGTTTGGGAGGGGAACCATTTCCCCCGGTTCGTAAGGCAACGATAGTGCATCTCCCCAAAACGGTTGTGTCAGCAGTCCCTGAGGTCAGGTACGCCTGTGCGAGCAGGCAGCGATCCGATCCGGCTTCGGATCCGGGTGCTTCGGATGGCCACGATCCGATCCGGAGCTCTGGACCGGGTTTCCGCCTTGATCCGGCTGAAGCGGCTCCGAAGTCGGAGATCCGGCCATAGGATATAATGGGGAATCAATGAAATATCTACAACTTGGTTGTTTTTTGTCTGATTTCAATGAAACTTGCAGGGGTGGTAGCCTCCACTGAGAGCATGAAGTCTGTCAAGTTTCAGGAAGCTCGGTGATGGGGGGAACTGCACCCCACATTCTTGAAGCCCAAACTCATGCTCTCAACAGAGGCTACCACCCCTGCAAGTTTCATGAAAATCAGGCAAAACCCAAGAAAGTTATAGATATTTCACCGATTCCCCATTATAGCTATGGCCGGATCTCCAAAGCGGCTCCGAAGCTTTTCCGAAGCGCTTTGGAAAGCCCAACCAAGCCAGCGCTTCGATCCGGACACGCTGCTTCAGACACCAAAGTGTCCGAAGCTTTTCCGGATCCGAAGCAGGGTCCGAAGCCTCGCACAGCCGTACTGTCAGGCCCATATATGTGACAATACTAGGGTGGAATCCTAAAATTATCATATTTTTCTGCAGACTGTCACCTCGGTCCAAGTCCGGCACCCCTAGTTTGCACAGGAGAAGAACCTGGTCGGAAAACCACCCCAGTGATGGGCCTGTTCTTTGGGTCATGTTGGAAAGGTCCGAGAACAAGGTGTCTTTTCCAAGGATGCACACACATGCACACACACGTGCACACACACACACGCACACACACCGCACTTCCATGCACTTTGTTGATAGCATTTTCTTGCCTGTGATTAATTGTGTCTGGGAGCTCCTCCCAGTTACCGGGTGGCAAACAGCGACACAACACCCGGATCAGGTCTCCGGTTGTGAGCCCTCCAACTGCCTGTGTGTGTCCCCCTTTAAAAGCCGATCTGTGACATCGTCCTGATTCATTGGGCCAGTGCTAACCAGTGCTTCCAGTCTGTTTCCTCTCTCTTCCCTCTTGAGACTGGATTTGAGCTTCCAGGATCTGCAGTTTCAGTTTTCAGTCATGTAGGGGCTGGTTTTAAATTGTCTTCCCCCTCTTGGCAATACCAGTCATGATCATAGTCATATTCGGTGTAAGATTGACCATCAGAAATCCTAATATTCTCTGGTAAAAAATAATCTCCAATTTTTGGATTAAAAAAGTAACCCAAAATCCACCTCTTTCCATGATTAAAATGAAACACCACTATAAATATATCTGTATATTGGGGTGATTCATTTTAATCATGGACAAATGTAGATTTGGGGTACTTTTTTAAATCTGAAAATTGAGGATATATTTTCAACAGAGAAAACCAGGATCCCTGGTGACCAGGGTCATCGTCCCCGTTCCCTGCGGAAGTGCCGGCAGCG